CCACTCAAAGCACTTTTACACTGTTTCTGTTTAAGGGTACAGAAAGTGTCAGCACCTGGACAGAATGTGTGTATGAAGTATCAGAGTGTGAATACACACACTAGTCATGATTGAAGAGGGATTTGAGACTAGGAAACCACTGTGACCACAAAGGAAACATGAAAAGAAACAGTTTTCCTGCTGCTGCTTTGTAGATCGAACTTAGAGCAAACAAGAACAAACCGAACAGAGACATAGTGCCCCCTGTAGACAAAAACAGCAACAACCTTTACTTTACCTTTATGTCCTTGGAGGTTTAATTTGCGGGACTCAGTACTCCCTATCATTTAATAGGTGTAGATTCTTAAAGAATCTGTATTCTTAAACTGCTCCTTTTTTCTCTCATATTTTTCTTTCCTCTTTTACACTCCCATCACACCTCCCTCTTTCCACTTTTTTACTTAATTTATCTCCGTCTCCGCCCTCTCCTTCAGGTGGAGAACTCCACTCTGAGTTCACAGAGCGCAGCCCTCATGGCTCAGAACGCCCAGCTGCAGACCCAGCAGAGCAGCGTGGAAGGAGAGCGCGAGGGAGCTCTGAAGGAGAAAGAGGAGCTAAGGGCCACCTATGAGCTGCTCCTCCGTGATCACGAGAAGCTGGCGGCGCTCCACGAGAGGCAGGCAGTCGAGTATGAAGCCCTGATCGGAAAACACGGGGGCCTGAAGACCTCCCACAAGAGCCTGGAGCAGCAGCACAGGGACCTGGAGGACAAGTGAGACTGGGGGTTTAGGAACATGGGATAGGCGCATGCTGAAATCCTGACTTCATACACTATTTCGACCTTTTCCTGTCTTATGATGGTAATACTGAACAGTCATAAAATCAGCCGTGCTGAGTAACCAGAGTAGACCCTTGGGATAATGACTCATGCGGTGTGTCCGGGGCTTAAGTGCTTTGTACTCCTTTCTGTCTGACCTTTTGTATTACTTCATGTAACTCATTGAACAGTTTGTAATGTGTGTGTATTTTTAATGCGTGCAGGTACAAGCAGCTCCTGCAGAGGAAGGGGGAGCTGGAAGAGTTGGAGAAAAATCTGAAGGAGCAGCAGGAAAAAATGGTGCTGGAGAACCAATCGCATCAAGCCACAGCTGACCAGTGCAAACTACTCAAAGAGGAAAATGATAGGTCAGCTCAATCTGTTTCAAAAGTATACTTATGAATAAAACCCTAATGGAAGTGATTCAACCTTTTTACCAGTCCATCTGCTCCCTCCTCAGACTGAATACTACCTATCGTCAGCTGGTGAAGGACAACGACAATCTCCAGGTGGACCATAAGAATGTAAAGAGCCAGCTGAACAGCGCCAAGCTGGACCAGACCAAGCTGGAGGCCGAATTCTCTAAACTGAAGGAGCAGTACCAGCAGCTGGACATAACCTCCACCAAGCTCACCAACCAGTGTGAGGTGAGGAGACCCACTCTTTTCTTCTCTGTATTTGGGGGCTTCCCATTATGCGCCACTTTTAAAGCCAGCTGTCTTTTTATTATATGATGTTGACAACTTCTTAAGCCAGCTGTGTTGTGGGATGGTTTATCTCTTTTAATGTATCATATTTATTGTTTGGAAAGGTGGCTTAGCATCTCTTTAATATATCTGTGTATGTGTGTGTGTTTAGTTATTGAGCCAGCTGAAAGGAAACCTGGAGGAGGAAAATCGTCACCTGTTGGACCAAATCCAAACTCTGATGCTGCAGAATCGCACACTGCTGGAGCAGACCATGGAGAGCAAGGACCTGTTCCACGTAGAGCAAAGACAATACATGTAAACCCCTGATTTGTTTTATTTAAAACAGCAAAATTTTTGTCTGAATTGGTCCTTGTCCGCAATTATTTTGATATTCCTTCAATATATTTGGTAATGGGACACAAATCGGTTACATTTTTACCTGGACTTTTTTATGAATTGTCTGTCTTACTGGATCATCTCTCATGTCTACACCCATCAGAGATAAGCTGAATGAGCTGAGGAGACAGAAGGAGAAGCTGGAGGAGAAGATCATGGACCAGTACAAGTTCTACGACCCCTCACCTCCACGCAGGTAAAAAGGAACCTCCACCAGTTACATGAGTTAAAAAATATTGAGGGCGGGGAATGGTAGACACTCACACAGCAGCCTCAAGAAGCGATGCATCAAATATTTATGGTCTGCAGAGCCTTAAACCGCTGTATACTGCATCATATCGAGTATCGTCTATGGAAGATTTGGAGGCTGAAATAAAGCTTTAAAATACAGTACACACACGGAATAAAACACTATTGAAATCTGTCCAGACTTAATATTTATTTTGTGTCAGTATGTATTGACTTTGTATCTTGTTTCCTTTTCTGCTCGTGTTCCTGATGGGTCTGTTTGTCTCACTCCTGTCTCTCATTATGTAGGCGCGGCAACTGGATCACTTTAAAGATGAAGAAGTTGATCAAGCCCAAGAGCCGGGAGAGGATGCGCTCTCTCACACTGACTCCCTCTCGTTCAGAGTATGGCGACGGGTTCCTAACCTTTCCCCAGGATAGCCAGGACAGCTCGTCCATCGGCTCTGGCTCCAACTCGTTGGATGACACACTTACACAAAAGAGGAGCAGCAGTGAGTACAAAAGAAACACACACACATTTATACACACAGAGATATAGACCCAAGAATTAAGTGTGCACAGTTTCAACCACAACCGAAGCAACGTGCATAAGATAAATGAGACCCATTTCCTGTACAAACACATACTTACCAAACAATATACAGTAAATAAAGAAGCTGTGAGCAAACAACTGTCCAAACTTGGACACAACTTTACATGCAAGAAAAGCACTGAGCAAAATAGTTGCTGGTTCCATCTGATGCTGAATGCTCTTTCACAGACACATAACCATTCACTTACTTACCTACAAAGTCACAAAACACTTCTGCTTGGTGTGTGTGTGTATGTAGGTTTACGTGATTGTGTGCTGGCTGAGCGGTTGAATGCGTCTTTCTTCCCCTAACTGCTCCTTTATTTCTCTCTCTCTCTCTCCGTGAAGGGAGGAGAGGGCAGCAGTCCCATGCCCAAGGGCAGGGTTCCACCAATGGTATGCTGCGGATGGGGAGGGTGGGCGGGGTTTGTGACCCGACTGTCACAGCTCTCAGGGCATGTTTTCGTGAGTCCATTGTCTGTGTCACTCAGCTGTCCTAGAAGTTACGGTTGAGCTGCGCAGCACCACAAGGTTGACTCTGAACCTCGGACCTGGTTCGAAAAGTAGATTCATTTCCTTTATTTGAAAGAACAGAGGGAGCGCTTGATTTCTGTAACCTGATTTATGGTACCAGAGTTAAAAAATATCACCATTAGACACTTCAGTCCTGAAAACTCATTTTAAAGGGGAACTACACAGATTTAAGACATCAAAGTCTGTTTACAGGTCTTGGGTAGCACGGCTGCATATGTAACAAAAGGGTGTGTAAAGGTTTTTGTGGCTGCAGAGGGAGCTGCATGAAAGCTTGCAAGACATCTGGAGCCAGCTTCTAGCATAACACATCTGCATCTCCGACTGAACTGTTGGTGGTCGATTTGCATCGTGGTTAATGTAGGCCAGGTTCTGAAGAATACGATACATCGTGAGTTATAGGAGTATTCTTTCAACAGTGTTCAGGTGGCAAGCTGAATCAAGCGCATCTCATGTGGTTCAAATATGGGAAAACACAGGTATATCTTGTCTCGGGTCCAGTTCACTCTTAACTTCTCCCCCAACAGGGTCTATAGCTCATTAGCTCTGTTACAGTCCTGTCAACCTGCTGATCTGTGCAGTTCACCTGTATATAACAAAGAAACGCCCTCTAACGTAGCACCCGAGCTATTAAAAGGTGCAATGCATTGTGGTAATGCAAGATGTGTCAAAATCATGGTCGGCTGGAATTGGTAGAATAAATAAGGTTTGTTTGCTTCCAGATTATTGTGAAATGAAAATATATGTTTTGTGTAAAATCCAGAGGCTATAGCCAGTGTAATAGTATAAGCGAGTCAGTATATTTTTCACACCAGTGGGTTAAACACAGAAATGTGTGAGTAACAAGCAATATTAATATTATATACATTTTATTTTTTCAATTTAAAGCAGTTGAACAAACTGTTGATAAAGAAGCCTTTATGAATCATGTAGTGAAACATAAATTACATCAAATAGATACATATGAATAACACCATAGTTACAAAAACATGTACCAAAGACTTTACATCGTCAAACATGCAATACTAAAGTTGCACATCTTTGAAAACACTGCAGTCCTCTCTGACGCTGTTAACCTGCCCTTTGACCTTTTCAATCTCCTGATTGCACCCTTTAATATTCTTCATCCTCTGTGTTTCATGTAGGTGTGGTAACGTGTTGACAGTGTTGTTGTGTACAGTATGTAATGCAGAATTCAATACTCATGACCATTAACGTCAAACGAGTGTTTGTGCGTTGTTGTGCAAGGATAAAAAGTGTGGGTGTGGGTGTGTGCGTATATTTGCATAACGTGTTCACATTTTTGTATTCGTTTGCATAATGTGTCTTTGTACAGAAGTCTGCCCTTAAAATTATTATTCAGGTTTTAAAGAAATCTGTGGGAGGCATTTCAGTCCATCCAAAAAGCATGTTAACAAGTATTGCATTTGATAATTAGAAATGTGATTAAATATAAAAAAGGGTGTATATTTCTACAGATTGTAATACCTTACAGTTGATGATAAATCAAATAGGGTTTGTAATATTATGATCCATCCCTTCTAAGTCATTTAATGTAGTTGTCTATTGCATTGTTGTCTGTTATCCAGTTGAGTGTCCAGGGGCTCAGCTCTCTCTCTGCATCTCTCCCGTGGCTCTCTTTGTAAAAACGTTAACCACATCCCTCTGTTCTGCCCTCCTTTTTTTCTTTTGTTTTCTTTCCCTCCACCCCCCCTCGGGCTTGTTCTGTCGCTCTCTCTCCGCTGTCTGTCTGTCTATCTGTCTGTCTCTGGCTGCGCTCTGACAGCTATAAAAAGGTTGCCTTTCATGAGGAACAGATCCAAGGACAAAGACAAGGCCAAGGCCATCTACCGCCGCTCCATGTGTAAGACCTCCGTTAGCCGCCACGCTAGCCTTCCTCCGCCTCCTCTCCCTCTCATCGTCACACTACGAGAAACACAGAAGGAGCAGTCGCTGATGTCAGGGTGGCTGCAGTGTGGGGGTGTGACAGTGACAGTATGGCAGTTTCAGGTTTCAGTCACAACTCTTAAACCGACTCAGGCCTGCAGTCATTAATTTGTGATTGTTTTCCATTTATTATATAAGACAGAGTTAATATTTCAGTAGTAATGTTATCTGGTATGTTTTTAGAGATGTCTGCATAAGATTTATCAAAGATTTGAGTTTAAAATTTCTCACAGTCACTGTACCTCCATGCTGCGTCTGGTGACATCGGTGACATGTCCTTTTATAATTCTTTCCTTGTAACCACACCTCGCCGTCACTGACTCCGGCCTACGTCTGCCGCCTCCTCTTCCCACTACCCATAGAGTATCTACACTATCTACACCTTTTATCAGCTTTCATCATTGTAGTGTCACTTTGTTCTCACTATTAGCAGATGAATGAATTACACAAACCTCACTAACTTTGTCTTAACGCAAAGATTTACAAATGAAAATGAATGAATGCATAAACAAATTAGGACTAACTTCCACAAAACATCCTGATCCCTAGATCTGTCTCTTGTAGTGTGATGCAGTTTGACTTCCATCTCTTTTAGTTCTGAGTGTCATCTACCCAAGCTTATCTTTCAGTATAGTAACTATGGGAGTCAGTGTGCAATGGGCAACTTATCGGGCAGCTTTGTCATGTGCTCTGTGGTTTCATTTTGTTTGTGTATCGGGAATGAAAGGCTCTGTGTGCGTTTGTGTGTGAGAGAGTGGGAGAGACTGTTGCCTTTCATGCGCCTGTGGTGTGTTTGCTCGCATCTTTGATTACAGCATGACAAAAAAAAGCCTCACCGCCAATCACACTCACCATGGAGGACTTGAAATGGAGCCTTTACTCTCTCTCTCTCTGTATCTCTCTCTCTGTATCTCCCTCTTTCTCTCTCTCTCTTTCGTCCTCTGTCAGCGTGCTGCATTTCAGATCTTATTCTGCTGACATGGACTTGCCTCCTTCTGATTGTGACTGATCTTTTGTGTACAGCACCGCTGCTGCTGCTTGGAGCAGCTCTGCATGCGCTCATGCCTCTCTACCGTTGCATACAGCTCAATAAACAAAGTGCATAAAGACAGAGGCCTCTTAATTTGGGTTAGAGGACAGGATGATGAACCATGCAGCTGCCATCTTTATGCACTTTATATTTGACTTTTTTTTTATAATACTGTGTGCCTGCATGTGCCTTTAATACCAAAACACTAGATCTGTTTGTGTTCTACAAGATTAATTTATTATCAAATTATGAGATAAATTCTCAGTTGAATTATCTTTCAATAAGAAAAAATTGAAAACCACTTTTAGCAACGTATAGCATACAAAATCTAAAAAAACAATTTCTAAATTTAAAAAAATCTGGGCCACGACTTGAGGTTAGATAAGATGTGATAAAATGTCTATTTTTTTATAATTTTCCTGTCCTCATTTACATCCCCTCGTCCATTCAGCAATGAATGACTTGCTGCAGACCATGGCGATAGCGGGCGGCCCCGGGGCTCAGTGGGCGAGCAGCATCGAGAACCTAGACGGCGTCGAGGCCGGAGAGGGCAGAGGCAGGCGCAGCGGGCAGCGCATGAAGGAGCTTGCCTTTTCCACCAACGCCATTGACTGCGCCGCCCTCACCCTGCCCACTGCAGGGCACAGCAGGGCCAAACTCCGGCTTCAGGTCAAAGGTCAGGATGCTCTTTTTTTTTTTGTGTGTGTGACGGGGAAAAACAGGCACATTGACATTATATCTGACACCACAACACATTTCCGGGTATAAGGATGGATCTGCAGATATGTTTGGCATTTATTTTGCCCTTTGTGAATGTCCATATTTAGTAGACTGGACTCATTTGAGTGAGGATTCAAATGAAGGTGGTGAAATATAGTCAGATTAGAGCTGTAGCATCACTCTCTTCTGTGTCTCAACAGATAATGCTTCCTGTGAGGATGTCGCCGGCTCCTTAGATGACCCTAAGAGTCAAGGTAAGACTCGACGTGACATCAGCCTCAAATTGTAGATGTGTCAAGTGAAAAGAAACAGGATGGGTAATTGCAGCAGCCTCTCTGCACCAGTCTGGAATCCGAAAGGCCTTTCAAGCGAGAAATGAGAAAAGGACTGAATAGCTCCCCAAAAAAAGCAGGTCATGTCCTCAGCAGTTCCACTGCTAATCTTTGGGCTGCCTTCCTGCACTTCGATTAAGCCTGATCTACAGTTGGAAAAGCAATTTTAGTGGAGAGAGAGAAAAAAGCACGAGAGAGATCAGCCTCCATTCAAAGTAGGATTGACTTTAATTCAGGCTTTAGGACGTTATCCAGGGCAGTTAATCTGCGACCAAACTATTCATCAGTTCTGTGCCGCTCTAATGTAGATGACCCAGTTGTTAAACAGCCACCAAACTACTGACACACATTCCTAGCACTTAAGATGGGTCTACACCCTGTCGCCATCAGTTTGTTGTTGTTAAAATACCAGACTCACTACTTACTACTTGGCATCCAAATACTGTATGTAACCTATAGTCCCAACAGGTCAGTAAACTGCTTCCCCAGGACACTGGCATAGCATTAGTGCACAACTTGGATCCTACTTAGCTGATGGGTTCCCAGAATGCATTCATAAAATCCAATACACTGTTGTGAGACCCATTTCCCAGTACCTCTCTGTAACGACTGGAGGAAACGGACATCCACTCTTGTCCACACAGCGGACATTGCTTAATGTATCAGCCAGAACGTCATATTCCAAAGATGTTATTGATTTTTCAAGACACTTTCAATTGCTCCCACAACATTTCCTTTTTCTGTGTTTCGACCCATTAAGAGGTATTGAACTTTGCTTGTTTTGCACTGTGGGCAGCAGTAATGAGTAGCATAATGTCATGTGTCACAACCAGGGTGTGTTGAGTTGTGTATATGTGTGTGTCTTTTATCAGGCCTGCAGGTGTATAGCAGTGCTCTGGCTCTGTGTCCTTCTCCTGTTGAGCTGAGCGTTGCGTGCAGAGTGCCCTGTAACATTTGTAGTAAGTGACCACTACTCGGCACTGAATCCTAGAACCATCCTGGTTTCCTAGACATAATAAGAACTGATGATTAGTAATGTAATTGTTCATTTTATATTCTAATTTGGTGTCACCCGTGTCCTGAAAACCAGTTTGAAATGATTTCACGGTCCCTGGTTTCCAGCTGGGACTTTCCCTACACAGTCAAGAGCAAGGTCACATTGTCACCACTCCTTTCCTCTCTTATTCTTCCTTCTCAATTCCTCCTCCTCAATTTCACACAAAGGCCTCCCACTTCTTCCTTTTATTACTACTTTACCCGCTTACTCCGTCGTCCTCTGTTATTCAGTATTGTCTCAGTTCTCCTTTTTCTCTAAGGTGGGGCCATCCCTGGATTTAGGTGTCCCTGCCCTCTCTGTCAGTAGTTGCTTTGTTTTTTTGACTGGACATATTGTGGCTGCAGCCTGGCACCGAGCCACCCTTCCTGTCCCTCTGCCTGGCATGTGCCATCTGCTGCCCCAGCAGGAGATGTTCTGTCAAACTGTCAACGTGCACCTTTGTGTTACTCTTTGTGTTAGTGCATGTCTGTGTGGATACATGTTAAGTGTGTATATATATCCTAACTGTGTGTGTTTGTGTGTGTGTGTGTGTGTGTTTGTTTGCGTGT